TCAAGAACTGAACTTTTTACAGTACAAATTTGAGGTGCTATTACTTTACCTGAGTATTTCCATTTTATGCTGCTATATCCGTCTATTCTGTGACCTCTCAGGGGTAAATCTACTCCACTACATTTGTCTGACAGCTTTAGTTACTTTCCGGATTACAATTTATCATACCCAACCTGTCCAGTGAAAACAAAGTATCTCCAAATTAATTTTGACTTTGATTTGTTCTGGTAAACTGAAGAATGACATGGTCCTTTATGGGGTGTGTAAAATCTCCTACTTCTTAAGATAAATAAAAAGATAAACTTTTTTTTGATGATGATGATGATGAATTGCTGTATTGTACTGGTTAAACTAACAGAATATAAAGTCCTGAACATTAGCACAACCTTAAATAACAACAGCAGTAAAATGAAACATACACATTAAAGAAGCAGTGATATTCATCCAGAAACATTAGATACAATAAAACATTAACAGGGAACATTTTACTGCACAATGAGTACTTTTACTTAGGTAAGGTTTTGAATGCAGGACTTTTACTTGTAGTGGAGTATTTTGACAGCATAGTATCACTACTTTTACTTCAGTAAAGGACTTGAATACTTCTACTTCGCTGCTGTTAAGTGAACAAGACCAAGAGTCAACAGCCTCACTACCAGTTCTGCGGGGCTGCACAGAGGTGGTCTGAGCTAAACGCTCACAGTGACAAAGCTAACGTGCTGATGTATAATATTACAATGTTTAACAACTTAGTTGTGTGTTTTAGCATGCTAATATTTCCCATTATAATTACCATTAAACACATTACAACTGAGGTTGATGGAAATCTCATTCGTCTAGAAAATATTTAAACAGAAACCAAAGAATTGCACAAATTTAAATTTGGTGATGCTGGTAGAAAGAAGAACAATCAGGAGATCACTCAAGTTATTACAGGTTATTACACCGAGGGGAACATGTATGTCAGAACAAAATTCAATCCTAATCTATCCAATAGTTGTTGAGATACTTTAGTCTAGAGCAGAGGTTTTCAAAGTCTAGGACTGGGCCCTCCCTCAGACAAAGCTTGGGAAAAGGTTAGCTTCCTTGATTAGTTTCGCGCAGTCCCTGGATGCCTTTGGGATCATGATTATGTGATCATATAATCAATTGATAAGATATACTAATGCTATATAATATTGCTGTATGACATAACCAAATACATAATAATGGTCTGTCCAAAGGTATTTATTAGTTTCTGACTTCTTTGAGCTCTCTCTTTAACCAAATCACACACTTTGAGGCTCTTCTATAACTCCTGTTGATGACTAACATAATAACTAGAAATTTAACCTCCATCAACGCCTCACTGTGTATTATAAAAACATGACAGTTCCATTAAGTGCACAAGCTTGGTGGTTTGTGTTCAGCCTGTGTTTTATCAACATATGGAAACCTGATGGGGGGCTGTGGAGCTGCATGACTCTCAGCCTGTGAGCTGACATTTAACAGCCTGCTGCCTCCTATCATGTCACAGCAGACTGGACAGGGCTCCGGTTTGCTTTCTTCTCTGCCTACATTACAGCAGTAAGCATCGTAAAAATCTGGTGGTGTTTATTTGAATGCAACATTCAGCACAGTGATCTTTGGACCTTTCACACTCGGTAGCCATGCTTCATTACAGGTTCAGACCTGGAGCACAGAGACGTGTTGACACAGCCCTCATGTTGTTATTCATTATGTGAAATGTTGCCACAACATACTTGATATTTTTAGTCTTTCTGAGTTTGTCTGCAGTTTGTCATCTATGACAAATTAAGTCAGGGATAGAGGTTTGTTATTATGAACCTCTTTATATATATATATATATATGTGTGTGTGTGTGTGTGTGTGTGTGTATATGTATGTATATATATGTATGCATACATATATCTATATACATATATATGTATATATGCTTTCCACATTGAGGTTTATATTTATATACTAATACCTTGATGTAGAAGTTAGTATATACTATGTTATGATGATGTCAGTGTAAATTGAAACATCAATATATTCACATACAGACGTAACACACATACCCCTCAACCCAATGTCTTACCCTCTGCAAATTTAACATGCACTTTTGTATTTTTACTTAAGTAAGACTTTTAAATACTTGTAATTGTAACAGGGTTTTTTTACATTATTAAGGCCCCCTGAATACTTAGCATGTTGTCATATACAGAGGCCAGTAATTCATACCCATTACTAAGCTTGTTAGGGAATAACATCAAAAGCACACAAAGCATGACGTGCAACATACAGGGAACCCACAAATGGGTACATACAAAAACAACATACATACATATACACACGAAAAAATGTAATATGTTGATTCAGATCATTTCATTTTCCAGCTTTTAAAAAAATCTCAATGTTTATGAAAATCTAAATTCAAATGTAAATGCGTTAGTTTGTAAATTTCCTTGTGGTTCCTATTATATCAGTATATATATATATATATATATAATAATATATATATATATATAATAAATCAGGTGTCAAGTAATTTGTGCTCAATCCACCAGAAACCCTGATTAACTTCACAATGTGTTAGATCCAAGTCATCTTCGCGAAAGCTTTTCATATAAAGCTTGTTTTCAGTCAAAACTTTCTTGCACACCCGATTCTAAAAGTCATAAAAAAAATATCCACAAATGCAAGTAAGTAAAGTTATTTGTTTATTTGACAAGATAAGCAAAAAGTGCAAGTCATCCCTCAGTATTCAGTTGAAGCTCCAGCAGCACAGCAAATGTGATCCGTCACAGTGAAAGACATTCACGTCTTTTAAAGCGGTTTAAAATACATTCAAAGCCAGACACAAGATAACGTAGGCTTCAACAACACGTTAAAAAAGGTACACTGTGGGGTTTTTGATCACTATAGTGGTCAGAGATTATTCAACAGTTAATGAAAAAAATGTTTGTTGTGATGAAATGTGTGGTTAAAGATGCAGCGGTCATGACAGTACTCTGCAGTGGCGGCAGGAGGCGGACGTGGGAGTAATAAATGGAAAAATCAAGAAGGAAAAGGTGTTGAGGCTTTTCGTTTATTGGCAAAACTGAAGTCAAAGAGGATTTTATACCAACGGGGAGGAGGTCACAACATGTTTTTTATATTTTATGTAGCTTCAAATTATCCCACTTGCCACACTGGGTCTCGAATAATGACCGAGTCAAATGAATTATGGAGGTAAGAAATGTGTTCATCATGTGTTTTGTCCAGTCGTGTTGAATTCGAGATGTTTGTTTGCAATTAAAACTCCAGAGAGTACCTTTTAATTGTTTTTAAGTCACCATAGTCTATGGTTAGAAAAGATATTGTACAAATCTTAAGTAATATACTGTGCACATCTTGATATGCAGGCTTAGCAACCATATACAGTTGCAGATGAATTCAGCTCAGAATTAGTACATCAGGGGTTTAAATCTTCTTAAGAGCACTTCTGCAATCACAAGCTATCCCACAGAGGGGGGAAGAAAGGCAAAACATTGGACAGAAGAGGAAGGTGTGTTTATAAAAAGACTAGAAAATATAAAACACACTAAATACATACAAATACCATACAATGCAATGGCAGTGTACATGGAAACATGTTAAGACAACACACATCAATATTAAGAAAAAGCCCACTTTGCTTTGCATTGATTCCAGTGTAACAATTTAAGGAGTGTTAGGATACAGCATACATCTACATCTGTCTGCTTATGAATAAGATATAATAATTAGTCGTTAGGACCTCATGTGATAAAAGTCCATTAATGGTTTAAAATACAAAGATATTAGTAGATATGATCTATTACAGATACTCCGTCATGCTAATTGTAACACAGTGGAAACCGCTCATAGTGATCACGGTTACAGTCACCAACTCTTTATATGGATCAGAAAGCTTAGGACAGGATCATTGCTTTACAAATGCTGTTTAAATAATTAGCTCATAGTAATCAAGTTACTGCTTACAGTGTTAATTTTGGGGTCTTTTCATACATATGGGGAAAAAAAGAATATTTTATTCAAAACGTTTGTTTTCAAACTCTGACATCAGTTTGGCATTGGTAGCCTACAGTTTATTTCCAGGCCTGGTAAAAATTTAGAAATGCACCGAAACCAGTGCTAAGCTGTGGCTTAAAAGCCTATTTGCACTACTGACGTTACTGTATTTGTAAACAGCACAACACTGTTTTACTGTTAAAGCGTAATTATACTTTTTACTGTCCTGTATTTTAAAAAACAGTCACTAATATTCAGTAAATCGCGAAGCTGTCCAGTTCATTACCTTATATGTAATAAATACACAAATGTTAATTAGATGATAGTCTGCCTGACAAATAAAGAAAATGATTAACTTTACCCGGACAGACGTGATCTCTATACGAGGTTTTTAAAGTTACCGTTTTAAAGTTCACATTCCGTTTTAGAAGTCTTCCGATATCAGCATCCTTGTTGGTAATATACTCATATTACATCTAAAGCGCATGTCCATTATTGTAAGCGGTGTATTTACACAGATTATCACCATGACAGAGCAAGTCCTACAGGTGCAAAGTAACCCTCGCACATGCTTTGTCCTCTGAGACAAAAAAGAAAAGAAAAACAACCTAGCCAGTTTCCTTGAATAAATAATAATTTTTTCTGAAACACACATCACAAACACAGAAAGATGAGTCACTGGTGGTGCCACTCCTTACTTCTATGGCTAGGGTTAGTGTTGAATAACATGCTCTGTGTTATTTTATTAAATCTAAATGGACATTAATGGGTCAGACTCCTCAACGCCAACAAAAGCCTGGAGTTTTAGAGTACAGTTAATGGACCATTTCTCTTTCAGAAGAGGAAAAAGGAAGTGCTATTTGTTGCAAACATGGTGACTCTCTAGTAGTCTAACTGTTCCCTTTCCTTTCCTTGAATAAATAGTAAGGACATGCATGAGGATGCAAAAAAACCCCACATAAAGTAGAAATTCACACACAATGAAGAAAAGGGAAAAAAAGGTTTCTTTCTCCCTAATAATTTTCCATCCATTTACTTAATTCCTTTAGCACATTCTCCATCACTTTCACTGCTAATGAAAGCGTCAGTGCAGCAGCATTAGCATGTTGCTATTCAGTAGCATCAGTATAGTACTGGTGACCACAGCTAAAAGCCCTCGCGAGCCCATCTCCAGTCCCTGCACCCCTCCGGTTTGTCTCTTCAAGTACTTTTCAGAGTAAACCATGTACAGCTCTATGCATCTCCGGACCTTCAGCTGATTGATCAGTGCTGGGTAGCCGATCTCCACGATGCTGACTGTATCATCGTCTTCATCAGTGCTGACAGCCTGAGAAGGCACAGGATTGACTTCAGGCTGATTTAGAGGGCTGGGAGTTGAAGGTGCAGTGCTATTGACCTCCTCCGTGTTGCTGCCTGTGCCAGTGTGCGGACCTGAGGTGACAACAGTGGTTGTGGTTGTAGTTGTGGCAGCAGGTTTGCTGTTTGGCTGTCGGTTCCCTGCAGGCAGAAGGTCTGTCCTCTTCATGCAGGCGTCCATGTAGCCGTCATAGGTCTCAGGGAGTTGGCTGTACCTGTAGTCTCTGCTGTAGTCGTTGGTGTCGGTAGACCTCGCACCATATTTCCTGTACATGTAGTTGTTGTAGTAATACTCCTCCTGGGAGTTGTGGAAGTTGAAGGGAGGACGGGGGAACCTTCCTAACCGTAGCCCAGGGCCATTCCTACTATAGCCCCTCCACCTGCTGCCATCATCGCACTGCGCCCAAACCCTCTGGAATTATCGTTGGGACGCACGCCCATTGCATGAACTGATTGGGAAAAGGGAGAGCCGCCCCCAACACCGCGGCCCCCGTAACCAAAGCTGCCACCATAGCGAGGGCTCAGGATTTGGTTGTTTGGGTTTTGGTTGATGTATCCACCTGGATAACCACCATAACCACCATAGCCTCCTCCGTATGGGGAGCCCCGTGCTGGATACTGGTAGCCTCTTCCACCCGGCTGCTGGGGGTAACTACCCGGATACCCAGGTCTGCCTGATTGCGGAGGGTAGCCTCCTTGATTGGGTTGTCCAGGCTGTTTGGGGTACCAACCCTGAGAGTTGGAGCCCTGATTAGTGTTAGTGTGGGTGCTGCCTCGGTTGGACGGGGGAGACTTTGACTTTGTGCCGGAGCCTTTCCCAAAGCCACCACCTTTCCCAAAGCCACCGCCTCCTCCTCCCTTCCTGGCCAGTGAAAGATGGGTATGAAACAAAAGTAGTGACAGACATATCACAGATAATGAATTCAGCTTCATCTTCGCCCTGTAGGGAGGGTTGGGGAGACAAAAGAAAAATTAAGAAATGGAGAAAAAGGATTTTTATCAGTTTACACTCAAAAGACAGAATTGTCTGTCTCTCCAATCCAACTTTAACATAGATGAGAACATGCACCTAACATGAGTTTCATTGAGCTGAGAGAACTGGGAACATTAGAGCAAGTATTTTGGCTACTCTGTGTTATGTCTTCTGTTTATCTTGTTTTACTAACTCAAGCTAGTACAAGCAATATATCATTAAATCATGTTGATAAAATATTTGTAACAGCCTCAACATGTTTTTGCACCACGCAGTCTTGCGCACCTACTTTACCCCATAGTTTCAACAAGGTCTGTGGACCCAAAGTAGGATCCTAGGTCAACTTGAAATAAGTACAGTGCGCGTTAATGTTACAGAAGATGATCAAACGGTACTTTCCAGTCATCTGTAACTTCAGGTGCCTTTGCATCATGTTAGGTATGTTACTATCAAAGCCATCAATTATACCATCAATTCACCAATTAAAAAAAAAAAAAAAAAAAAAAAAACTTAGTGTCTCATTAATAATAATAATAATCATCTTACTTTTTCTTGAGGAAATTTAAGATGACAAAATTCCAATGCAAAGTTAACATCCTAACTGGAAACATCACAAACTGGCATGGGATGTGCACGGCCCAGGACAGGAGGGCTCTGCAGCGGGTGATTAAAACTGCTTAGATCATCATTGATACCCATCTGCTGAGCACCAGTGATATCAGTGAGGTGAGGTGCCTGCACAGTACCCACCCAGCCACAGCCTGTTCACCCTGCTGCCGTCTAGCAAGCGATACAGAAGTATCCCCTGTCGTACCACCAGACTACAGAACAGCTTCTTCCCTCAGGCTGTGAGACTCAATTCATCCTCAGTGTGTAGCATAAAGGGACTACAGCTTTCATTTTGCTGTACAACCTTGTGTTGTATCAATTTGAATAAATGACCTATAAAAGTCTGTATCTCATATTATATGAGATAAGCACCTTGTAATTAAGAGAAAAGATGTGATCCATCATCCATATTTGAGAAGGAAAAACCATAAAGACACTTTAGGTGTGATTTTAAAATATATATCTTGACATTTTATAATTTTGTCTACCGCGTAGTAGGTTTTGCCCTACTGTTTATACCATGGTAATATACATTTCTGGATGTATATTTACATTTAGCAGACACTTTTATCCAAAGTGACTTACATTTGAGGAATATAAGGCTATTATGGGCAGTGTTGCAAATCAATGAGCATGACTGATTTACAGTCATATCAGATGTTAACATCAATGTCAAAGTATCTTGGTATCTAAAATAAGTATATTATATATGGATATAATATAAAAGAGTACGGTCTACGCTGTGAGATAACTGTTTGATTTGGCGCTATATAAATAAAATTGAATATAATAAAATCTAATATTACATGTATCATGATAGAGGATTTTACTAGGGCTCTAACAATTAACAATTTCATTGTCGATTAACCAGACAATTTCTTTTCATCATTTATTTCCCACAATCAATTTCCACAATTGTGAGAAATAGCTTTAAGAATTTCTCGGTCTTTAAATAAATTCCTTGTAAAATGTAATTCCTTGTTTCCGTCCAAAACCTAACATATTTGATTTGCTATAATAATGACAATTTTTTTTTTTTTGGGGGGGGTGGTATCTTGAAAAATGACAAAAATGATTATTCAACCATAAAAATAGTAATTGAACTGATCATTTTACTCAAACAGTTACAGCTTTATTATTCATATAGCTAACCCTTAACCTGATTTAATTATTTTTATTTTAATGCTGTATGATACGATGAAACGACCTGTATGACAATATTTCAAGGATCAGGTTGTAAAACGAAATCAAAGTTCCCTTCATGCTACACACACAGAACTTCACTCACAATTAAATGTATACTAAAATATGGTAAGATAACACACAAAGCAATATACACAGGTGACTGATTATCAGGTTTATGCTCAGTCTCATCTGTTGTCAATACAAGCCCCACTATGGCTGCTTGCTAAATATTGATGGTCTTAACTTACCAGTTGTTGTGTGTAAACTCACTCTGATAACAGGCACAACTCGAACAGACGTCTCTGTTCTTAACTGCTCATTAACATTTTTAATACCGACATATGTGTTGTGGTGGCAGCCCAGCTGACGGTGAGTGTCCTGGTTATTTCTCCTTTTTGTTGTCTGTGATTCTCTCTCTCTCTCTCTCTCTCTCTCTCTCTCCAGCCACACCTGCCAGCAATCAGCCTCATCTCCAATAGTACTTCTACCCCGGTACCGCGGTGAAGTTAGTTTTAAGTTGGATATTCGACAGACATTCACCCAGGATCCAGTGACGGCTTTTTAGTCAGTTCACCCAGTGACGGTTGTATAAGTGCGGTTAGCTCACCTCTGATGGCTCGCTTTTAACCAACGGGGGTTAGCTTAGGGACCGTCAATAAATTACAATTGTGAGAACAGTGTTATGGGAAAATCATTATTTATTTCAATAGCTTCCAAGTCATGTGACACAGGGACTTCAAACCAATGCCGAATTGTAGTACTATACTAGGCAAATGAGACACACCCCTTCATATTTGATTTGAGTGCATTTTTTATTTTATATGAATATTTATTCATAATTTATGTAAAATAATGCCTTTTTTTTTCCATAGCGTCCAAGTCATGTGCACAGGGACTTCAAACCAATTCCGAATTGTAGTACTATACTAGGCAAATGAGACACACCCCTTCATATTTGATTTGAGTGCATATTAAAATTTATATTAATATTTATTCATAATTTATTGAAAAAAGTGCTGTTTTTTTCAATAGCTTCCAAGTCATGTGACACAGAGATTTCAAACCAATGCCGAATTGTAGTACTAGACTAGGCAAATGAGACACACCCCTTCATATTGATTTGAGTGCATATAAAATTTATATTAATATTTTTTTATATTTTTTTCTTCAATAGATTCCATTTCAAATGATTCAGGGACTCAAAACCAATGCCGAATAGTACTACTACCTGTTACACATATTACACACCTCTTGTACAACTGCAGTTGTACCACACAGAGTCAGTCATTTTCTTCCACAGCATTGAGCAGATTTCAAAGAAACACTTTATTTACACAACGGACATTCCCAGTTTCCTTCCATTGCCTCTTCATTGTGTGCTGTCCATTCCACACACTGAGCATGGAACCACCGTTCACAACCATCACACTGGACCTGTGGAACGTAACCCATTGGCCTCAGGTGAAGATACCAACGATGGTCGTTCAGTCTTGGCCACAGGTAGTCTCAACGACTGTAACGACTGTCGTCACAGCAACAAGGAACACTAACGAACCAGCGGTATCGATGACCCGGGCCAACGACCCCACTGAGGTTAAATAGCTGAGTTTCCCTGCCAGTCAGTCAGAACTGAAGAAGTCCTTTGGATAAGGGACGAAACGTCTTCCAGTATCTTCAACCAAGTCAGTTGCCCTTCATTTTAACCCTCGTTGGATACTTTATATAGTATAAATTAATTTCTAAAGGAAGCTTAAGAACTCTACATTCCCATGCCAAATTCTTGTCAACCTTAATAGAGAAGTCATAGAAAGCATCCTGACTGGAAACTTCACCACCTGGCATGGGATGTGCACGGCCCAGGACAGGAGGGCTCCGCAGTGGGTGATTATAACCGCTAAGAAGATTATTGGTACCCATTCACACACATTCATACAACGATGGCAGAGAAATAAATGCAAGGTGCCAACTGCTGATGAGAAAGAAACTAATACTCGTTCACACACACTCACACAACAATGGCACAGCCTTCTGAGCAAATACAGAGGGGGCATATATCTTCCATGTAGTGGACAACCGCTCTACATCTAAGCAACAGACATTGAATATATATATATATATATATATTATATATATATATATATATATATATATATTATAAAATATGTTACGAAAGATTTATTTTAATTCCACAGGTCCAGTGTGATGGTTGTGAACGGTGGTTCCATGCTCAGTGTGTGGAATGGACAGCACACAATGAAGAGGCAATGGAAGGAAACTGGGAATGTCCGTTGTGTAAATAAAGTGTTTCTTTGAAATCTGCTCAATGCTGTGGAAGAAAATGACTGACTCTGTGTGGTACAACTGCAGTTGTACAAGAGGTGTGTAATATGTGTAACAGGTAGTAGTACTATTCGGCATTGGTTTTGAGTCCCTGAATCATTTGAAATGGAATCTATTGAAGAAAAAATATAAAAAAATATTCATATAAATTTTAATATGCACTCAAATCAAATATGAAGGGGTGTGTCTCATTTGCCTAGTATAGTACTACAATTCGGCATTGGTTTGAAGTCCCTGTGTCACATGACTTGGAAGCTATTGAAAAAAAACAGCACTTTTTTCAATAAATTATGAATAATATTAATATAAATTTTAATATGCACTCAAATTAAATATGAAGGGGTGTGTCTCATTTGCCTAGTCTAGTACTACAATTCAGAATTGGTTTGAAGTCCCTGTGTCACATGACTTGGACGCTATTGAAAAAAAAAGGCATTATTTTACATAAATTATGAATAATATTAATATAAATTCGAATATGTACTCAAATCAAATATGAAGGGTGTGTCTCATTTGCCTAGTCTAGTACTACAATTCGGAATTGGTTTGAAGTCCCTGTGTCACATGACTTGGAAGCTATTGAAAAAAAACAGCACTTTTTTTCAATAAATTATGAATAAATATTAATATAAATTTTAATATGTACTCAAATCAAATATGAAGGGGTGTGTCTCATTTGCCTAGTCTAGTACTACAATTCAGCATTGGTTTGAAGTCCCTGTGTCACATGACTTGGACGCTATTGAAAAAAAAGCATTATTTTACATAAATTAAATAAATATTCATATAAATAAAAAACTCAAATCAATATGAAGGGGTGTGTCTCATTTGCCTAGTCTAGTACTACAATTCAGCATTGGTTTGAAGTCCCTGTGTCACATGACTTGGACGCTATTGAAAAAAAAGGCATTATTTTACATAAATTATGAATAAATATTCATATAAATTCGAATATGTACTCAAATCAAATATGAAGGGTGTGTCTCATTTGCCTAGTATAGTACTACAATTCGGCATTGGTTTGAAATCCCTGTGTCACATGACTTGGAAGCTATTGAAAAAAAACAGCACTTTTTTCAATAAATTATGAATAAATATTCATATAAAATAAAAAATGCACTCAAATCAAATATGAAGGGGTGTGTCTCATTTGCCTAGTATAGTACTACAATTCGGCATTGGTTTGAAGTCCCTGTGTCACATGACTTGGAAGCTATTGAAATAAATAATGATTTTCCCATAACACTGTTCTCACAATTGTAATTTATTGATGGTCCCTAAGCTAACCCCCGTTGGTTAAAAGCGAGCCATCAGAGGTGAGCACTTATACAACCGTCACTGGGTGAACTGACTAAAAAGCCGTCACTGGATCCTGGGCGAATGTCTGTCGAATATCCAACTTAAAACTAATTTCACCGCGGTACCCCGGTTCCCCACTCCATCGCTGCTTGATCGTCGTTGCTCCTAACCCGGTGCCCCTTGATCCCTCAAGCTATCGCGTAACCTGCATGATCTGTCTCACTGTTCTTGGTTTTTCCGGAGCCACTGATCCTGTTTGTCTGCCTGTCTCTCCCCAGGTTCACTCACCCTCGTCCTCTGTCAAGTCGGCTGGGCTCGCTCACCTGCCCTCTCCCCTCGGACTTCCCCCCCACGGCGTCCTCCCAGTTCTCCCGTGCCTCCTCTCCCTCGGCCCCCAGTGCTCCCCGGCTTCCACCTCTGCCCTCAACTTCAGTCCCTCAACCCCTTCTTTCCCCTAAACAAACCTGTTAATCCCCAGAGTTGCGTTTGGGTCCACTCTGTCCCCACACCACACCTTAACAATATGGCCTTTAAACTGGGCTAAAACATTCACAGACCCAGCTACCACCACACCTCAACTTACATAATCATTAATTATAATTAGTTAGACAGGATACGAATCTCATTTTGAGATAATGAGATTTATCTAATTATGAGACGCTGAGTGGCTAATTATTATGGGGTACGTACAGAAGGCATAATTAAGAGATGAATTTGGGCTTTAGCCTATAAATAAAATTGAATAAATCAACCTTTTTCTTTATTTTTGGTAACGTTAAGGCCTACATAGCCTACTTAGTAGCTAGTATTTATTTCTTTTAACTGTATTTTAATTTCTAATCTTTAATTTCTTTCGTAAGATGGTTTTGAAAAGTGCCCTACAAGATTTAATAAATCATCTGTTTGCTAACATTAGTTTACGTCTCCACCCTTAATTCGTCCACTTCTACCAGACATTTCTCGTGGCAGTCACAGGACACAAAAACAAGAAGACTTCTGTGTTTTATGGTGGGGATGGGGATGCATGATGCAACAAATAACCTGCTCCGGAGAACGACAGCTCCGAACAAACAAAGCAACCAGACACAGCTTGTTTATAAATGCATACTGCAGACATACAATAGCTAACCTACTTCTGTCAGTGCATTAACAGTGCTCGCACTTTAATGTGGCCTTCCAGCTACCACTGCCCTTTATTCGGTTAAAAGATGGCGCTTGACAGTGTCAAGTAACTATCGAGCGTAATTTACACATTGATGAGAACAGCGTTGACATACGGGTTTATTGCCTCGTGGGAGGTAAAAAAAACAATATCCATTTAATTCCCCAAACCCGGATTAAAAAACGGGAGGGTGCGGTTACTTTAAATGAGGGACAAGCCTTAACGTACCTCCAGTGGTGGCTGCTTGGATCCGCTCTTCTCCACTCGACTGTTGGTTCACTTCAAACGGTTAAAACGTCTTTAGTTCGGAAACTGGGTGAATTTCATATGACGTAACGTGGCACGAGGGACATGGGTCGCATAGAGACAGCCGAGGGGGGCGGGGTTTCACTGAACACTTTTCCCAGCATCCTCACCCATGATGATGGTGATGATGATGTCCACCTTTTTATATACACCTCACACGGAAAATCACCACAGCTAAATGAATAGTGTGCCACTATTTTAAAAAATGTACGGAATGATAGCCTACTAGTGGTGGGAATAATCAGAATCAGCCAAGTTGTTTTTACACAGAAAAGGAATTGTTTTTGGCGACTGGGTGCGCAACAGCAATAAACATAAATAATCATAAAGATATCTAAAAAAAAAAATAATTAGTTTGACAGAATTTATACAAGTATTTGGATGTGCAATAGAAGAATCAGAATCAGATCTGATATGTTGTGCAAACATTAGGTGGGATGGCATGACAGTCAGAGTCAGTGGGAGACCTGGCCTTGTTGATGAGGTCAGCTGCAGAGGGGAAGAAACTGCTCATGTGGCTTGAGGTTTTTTTTTTCCTGATGGACTGCAGTCTCCTGCCTGAATAAAGCACAGGTTATGTGCTCAAATAAAATAATGAAGCACTTTACTTGCTGCCTCCATTTAATCCATCCATATACTTCAGAAGGACATTTTGTACATTTACATCAGGATTTTACATTCAAACACATATGGTTTTTAAAATATGAAAATGTTCTAGTAAACATTACATATAGTCCTTATTTCTACTGTCAGGTACTCAGTGTTTACAACTCTTAAATATTTTACATACATTTATGAAGTCGCAGACAAAAAACCAGTAGAGACCGTAGTGCTAAACAAAAATAGATTTCAGACCCTGTCTAACAACAAGCCTACTTACATGTTGATGCATTTATAAGTAGCCAAGCTGAAAGGGTAATTAAGTACTGATAAAGCTTTTGTACTTTTATGCAGGATGTTTACTTGTAATATAATCTACTTTGTTGTGTTATTGTGGCATTGCTACTTTTATTTAAATAAACCACCAAGAAAAGTTAGTAATATCTGAGAGCAAAGCATAATACAGTGAGTAAACTATAGAGGCCACTTTTGTCTATCAGTTTATTCAAGAAGTTTCAAGTTTACAGTTGATGTTTCTATTTGTTGACACATTTGAAAGTTTTACAGTATGTAAATAGTCCCAAGAATTCAAGTCCTCAAGGATCAAAGAATTTTAACATTACTAAACCTGATGCATTTTCAAAATTTAAGCCAGAGGTTTCTGGGTGTTCGTAGGTATATAGATTGTTCAATAAAAGCAGTATCCTGACAAAAGAGAAACGTCCCAAACCAAAGGCTACGTTTCAGCATAGCTTACAACTCTCATATTAAACAAAATGCCACTTTGTTGGTAGTTAAAGGAGAACTAGCGACACGATTCGGGCAAAGGCATACCGTTTAACCACTTGGTGTTAAACTCAAAAGCTCTCAGGTGATCATTGGCAGAACTGTGTTTTTGTGGTAAAAGCAGAGCGTGCTAAGAGTTGTAATAAGGTTAGCTGAGCTCTGGTAGAAAAAACAGGTGGTTGTGGACGCTTTTAGGAGCCAGAACAGAGAGCCCAGTGCCCTAATTCATTCCTGACTACAGATGATGCCACCTGCTGGCCATTGAAAATCCTGACTCTTGTGTGAGGAAAAATTATGTGAGAGTTAAAGACCTGCAATTCAGTCAATATTTGAAACCATATAAGCCACTGATTAATGAGCTATATGTTGAGGCTATAGCGGCTTCCTTACAGTAATAATGCTACATTTTCACATGAAGAAAGTTTTATTACTCTTATCATCAACACAAAGACAATATATTTTCACAGAGAAATAAAGCAAATCACACACCATGGTGGCACTGATGTAACACATCAATGTCAATCATAGGTAGTTCAAAATCAGTACAGCAGATATAATTCATACATCAGTTTTACACTAAGATTTTTGCAATCTCAAGCAGAGAAGGGAAATAAGTGGGAAAAGTGAGGCAAGTATATAAATAAATATATCAAGACTTACATACTGTACAAGGCAAAGGCAGGTCATATGGATTTCATCCACAACTGGTAGAAATACCGTTGTCTAAAAATACTCCATTACCAGTAGGCTAAAACTCCTGAATTCAAAATGTTACTTAAGTGAAAGTATATATACACACATATTTTTCCATACTCTTTTCTTTTTCCATTCTTATCTATACCTGGAAATTACTACTTTACTATTACTTTACATACTGTGTAGGAACCCAGTTAATTATTTAATGGTTCAAGTGTGTAGTATTTAGGAGTATTACAAAGACCTTACATAATGAACCGTTATGGTTTTATTAACTTAGAATGAGCCATTTCTAGCTACATACTCTGCGGGTCCTCTTACACGGAGGTCGCCATGTTGAGCCGCCATGTTTCTACAGTAGCCCAAAAAGACAAACTGCTCTACAGAGCGCATTTGTCACTTTGTTGAATACACACGAAGAAGAAGAACAACAACAACAAGTAACATTAGTAGTGGTAGTGGTCGTTGGTTTATTAGAAGTAAGAAGAGAAAAGAAATTTGGACAAATGGAGGCCCACAAGTATTATTTAGCCTACAGTGTGTGTCGGCCAACGTAGCTTCTCCTACGCGCTGACAAAGGAAGGGTGAACGATGACTTGAGTAGTTGAAGTCACCACTAGATGCTACTAAAACGTACACACTGAACCTTTTAACACACTCTTATGTACACCTCATTTCTATATTTTTCCATCACTTTCACTGCTAATGAAAGCGTCAGTGCAGCAGCATTAGCATGTTGCTATTCAGTAGCATCAGTATAGTACTGGTGACCACAGCTAAAAGCCCTCGCGAGCCCATCTCCAGTCCCTGCACCCCTCCGGTTTGTCTCTTCAAGTACTTTTCAGAGTAAACCATGTACAGCTCTAAGCATCTCCGGACCTTCAGCTGATTGATCAGTGCTGGGTAGCCGATCTCCACGATGCTGACTGTATCATCGTCTTCATCAACAGTAGCAGTTTTCTGAGAACCTGTGAAGCTGGAGGCACAGGATTGGCTTCAGACTCATGCAGAGGTGCAGAGGTCAAGGAGTTTTCTGCTGCAGTGTTGTTGCTCTTTGTTGCATTGCTGCCAGTGGCTGTGGCAGCAATGGCTGTGTTAGTTACAGAAGTAGTTGTGGTTGTAGTTGTGGCAGCAGGTTTGCTGTTTGGCTGTCGGTTCCCTGCAGGCAGAAGGTCTGTCCTCTTCATGCAGGCGTCCATGTAGCCGTCATAGGTCTCAGGGAGTTGGCTGTACCTGTAGTCTCTGCTGTAGTCGTTGGTGTCGGTAGACCTCGCACCATATTTCCTGTACATGTAGTTGTTGTAGTAATACTCCTCCTGGGAATTGTGGAAGTTGAAGGGAGGACGGGGGAACCTTCCTAACCCGTAGCCCAGGGCCATTCCTACTATAGCCCCTCCACCTGCTGCCATCATCGCACTGCGCCCAAACCCTCTGGAATTATCGTTGGGACGCACGCCCATTGCATGAACTGATTGGGAAAAGGGAGAGCCGCCCCCAACACCATGGCCCCCGTAACCAAAGCTGCCACCATAGTGAGGGCTCAGGATTTGGTTGTTTGGGTTTTGGTTGATGTATCCACCTGGATAACCACCATAACTGGCATAACCACCATAACTTCCTCCGTATGGGGAGCCCCGTGCTGGGTAACCTGCAGCTGGATAACCTGGCTGCTGGGGGTAACCTCCTTGGTTAAATTGTTTAGGCTGTTTGGGGTACCCACCCTTAGACATGGGGTCCAGATTTGTTGTTTTGGGGGTCTTTTAAAGACATTTATTTTTTTAAAAAGCCCTACTTTTTTCTTGGCCAATGCCAAACTAATATGAAGCAAAAGAAGGGAAAGACACAACACAGCTATTACAGTCAGCTTCATCCTTCCGCTGCAGAGAAGAACAGAAAATATAACAACATGTAGAATTTATGATTTACAATAAAAAAAAGTCATTTATTAAAGAGCCATCTTTCTGGAAACAGTCAAATTCCCAAATTCCTGATAATAGGCTAAATTACCACAACTCACAGCAACTTTCAAGTACAAGACAAGCTGGTTTTTCTTGTTCTCAGTGTACTTTTGGAGGGGATTTATCGAACTATTCACTACATTACATTATGTTCACATACATTAACAGCCATGATATGTTTTTGCACTGTTTTTGTTTTACATCATTTGCTCCACATGAAGCTGTGGGTTCAACATAGCTGCCAAGGCTTAAAATAGCACAGACCTTTCAGACTCTCAGATACTGCAGGCGACCAAATATTACTCTTTACAGTCCGGTTGGTAATTAATGTTGCGTTGTTTTCTTGAGAGAGACCAAAGAGCAGAACATATTTATTACATGACAGGAGTACCCTGAGGTTTAATGGTGGGTTGGAGGCGCACTTTGAGAACTTTACAGAAAACAACCCAGCCATGGAAAAAGAAACAACAGATCTATTAACGTTACCTTCTTTGAAAGCGAATAGTCATAAACACATAGGCTACTCTACATACTGCTGACCTTGTAATGTGTCCACAACACCGCCGTTTCTTTCTTTTGCTTCCCAAACCTTTGGTATCAGCCCTCCTCCTTTTAGGGGTAAAAATAAACTAGTGAGAGGAATTACGGGTACTTTAAAGGAGCAGGGTCTGGCTCCCAAACCCTCTTCACTTAGTAGTACCACTTCTGCTGGTTGCATGTTTATTTGCTGCAAGAAATAAATAGGCAACATTCTTCATCTGTAATACATTGAAATATTCATCATATTCATATCCTAGTCATATTGATTTGTTAAAAGGTCGGACATGTCAATAATAACTATCCTAGCTGTAGCTATAACAAAAATAACACTCTAAACTGATCCAAGAAATCACAAATCATTACCCATCAACTAATTTAAAGCCCCAGCAAATCTAATGTTCTTCAAAGTAAACATTGTTTAAATTATTGTATTTAGGGGGTTCAACCTAATGAATATACACATTTGCACTTGGCCTTGCATTAATTGGTTTAGGCAT